TTTCAATTACATTTTTTTTCCCCCCTCCTCTTTTTTTTTTTTTTTTTTTAATTTTTTTTTTTATTTTGAAGAAGGACGCTGATGGTTTGGAGTAAATTGTCAAAGGATGTCTGGTTTTGGTGATAATTAGCATACAATAGGCCATGACCAAGAAGGGGGAGAGGCTTTGGTGCCCTGATGCGACGCATGACCCGTGGGGTTAGGCGAGAGCTCTCGTAGGGCGCAGAGCGGCAGGCCTCACTCCGCCAGCACTTCCTTTCAGGACGCTTCGCCGGGCGATTCCCCGCCAGCAACTCCTCCGGCGTCCCCCGTGTCCTCGGCCTGGCAGCCGTTTCCCGAGGAAGACTCGGACTCCCCTCAGCTAAGGAGGCGCGCACACACCTTCAGCCACCCCCCCTCCAGCGCCCGGCGGAGGATAACCTTCCAGAACGGGAGGTCCCAGAGCGTCCGGTCCCCGCTGCTGCGGCAGAGCTGCGTCGAGGCGCCAAGGTGAGTCAGGGCGTGCCGTGCCACGCGCCTGCTGTCTCCCGCAATTTCGGTACCCGAGCCTCACCTGTGTTCCTTCTTACGGAAGCTGTTTCTGCACTGCTCTGGGTTTTATTTATTTATTATTTATTTTCAGCCTGTCTTCTCCACCTTGGAGTAGTTTGGTGCTTTGCAGTAACTCACTAATCCTGGAATTAGTGATTCAGGGGAAGCGTCAACCCAGCAAATTGATCATCGGGCTGGGTGCTGGCGCCGATCTGTTTATTTATTTGTCACTTCTGAGCTGAGCCTTTTTGGCGGGGTCGGTAGTCAGGCCCTTTGGAGAAGAGGTCCTCACCGCTTTTAACTGCAGAGACGATAGCCTGACAGTTTTATGCCAGGATGAAATAGGCACTGACAGCTTCAAGTGTCAGTCGCGGTGTTAGCCAAGCTCCCAGAGAGTATGTCCAGAATTAAAACTGGTGAGGAGTCTCACAAAAGGACTTGGATTAAACATCTCCACTGAACTGTGAGGCATGAAATTTCCCTGTTTGCCTTTTTCCAGAGCTTCCCTCTGTAACTTCTTTCCCCTTCCTTTTTGGAGACTCTCCAGCTCTTAACATGTGGAATACTGTTCCTTCAGGAGTTCCTTCACTCGGTCAGAAGAGGTCCCCACAGTTCATTGTGGGCCTCTTTGGTTCTACTTTCTTTCTCCGCCTCCCTCCTGGCTCTCTGCAGTAAGTGACTGTGCAAACTCCAAAACCTGTACAAGATTCAGGCCCAGATGAGCTGATTTTTCTTCTGGTGGAGGATCACTTTCTCCAAACTACTCATCTATTTCAATGCCTGGCTGCAATTACACTTTTTGTGGGCTCTTTCTAAAAATGGCTTTAAATAATAATTTCTCACCCATTTGATATCTAGATTAAAATATCAGTGTGAACGCTGCACCAACTTGTAAAGAAAGGCAAAAAAGTTTATTCTGTTTAAGAGAATGGAAGGGGTGAAGGGTAAAATACTAGCCTTGAAATAGCTTTGTTACATTGTGTTTTTGAAGAGATAAATAGTGTGTTTTTTACTGAGATAAACTTCCCC